TGATACGGAGGCTGGTGAATGCGATGGTTGGGGTTGCTGCTGATGTTGTTGTTGTTGCTGTTGTTGTTGTTGCTGCTGCTGCTGCTGCTGCTGTTGTTGTTGTTGTTGTTGTTGTTGTTGTTGTAATGGAGGTGTTGGTGCCTGTCTCTGTTGGCCGGATCCCGAGTGGGAGAAGGGAGAAATCGCCGAGAATGCAGTGGATTGGACTGGCTGTCGAGAGAATTGTGCCGCAGACTGGCCAGTCAGCCCAGCGTGCAGTTGATGCTGGTGTTGGTGTTGGTGTTGGTGCTGATGCTGATGCTGATGCTGAGGTTGAGCCTGTTGTAGCTGGTGTGGGTGGGGCAGGCCAACTGGATGCGAGAGGAGGGAAGAAGAGGAGAGCGGTGCGGCGCCGAGGGAATGACCGGTTGTGGTGAGGCTGCCACTCTGCACCAGTGTCGGATAACAGGCTGTTGGCGAACAGAGAAGAAAGGGAAAGTATTTATAGAAACGCAGACACGAAGACCAAGATGTTGTGGCCTCTTTTTTAATCGCTGTTTCTTTTCTATGCATATTAGTTGTTCGATCTTGTTTTCGCAATTTGGTCATATTGCTAGGAAGATAGAGAGGAAAACACATTATCTGGAGTCCATAGTATGCGTGATAATCTCCAGAGTTGGACTGTGGACTTGGTACACTCCAAGATGCTTCGTCGGCATCGTCAGTGAGTCTTGCCATTCTCAGCAGCCCAATAAAAGTCTTCAAAGATAATGGCAGGACTCACTGATGATGCCTATTACGTTGCTGACGAGACGTCCGGGAATGTACCAAGTCCACGGTCTAACTCTGGAAATTATCATGCATGCTATGGACTCAGGACGAGGTGAGTTTCTCTAGGTATTCCTACCAATATGATCGAATTGCGAAAAAAGGTCAAACTAGTATAAGTAGAAAAACTGGTTTAAGAAGAATACCTTTCATTTAGTTTCAAAGGGCGAGTAAAAGAGATTCGTAACTTGTTGAGCTTACTTCCATTTCA